AAAAAACACATCCTTTGAAATGTGCTCATGTGTGACATGCTAGTTGTTTATGCCACTGTGAAGGGTTTTAGTGATACAATGAGATTTACATCACATAGGCAGAACCCTTGAAAAGTTCGCATTTATTGCTCCCATTCCCTGCTTCAAAATTCAGATTTTAGTTTCTTATGCTGGGGAAAATTTGGAAAAGTGTTTTCTGTTACGTGTGATCTTAATATCTGTAATTCTAAATGTTAGATGCACCTAATTACTTTTCTTTACCTCTCAGAAAGAAGTAGCTCGTCTTCGGAGTGTGGTCGATGGAGGAGTTGAAAACCATGAAAATGATGCTTGGACAGTTGCTTTTCCAGGATCGCCTACATCTGTTAAATGGGAAGGGCTTCATGGATTTTCTAGTCCATTTACAGCAGATAAACGGGTGTCAAAGGTAGGTTTATCTTAAGTTGGCTATGAGGAGAAACATCTGTTCCATGATTGGATCTGATAGTAAAGTTTCTTGTAATTTCAGAAGAAAGACTACGAAGTTGCTCTTGTTGGGGCTTTTAGGAGGGAAAAGGATAAAGACATTGCATTACAAGCATTAACTGCTGAAAATCAGGCAGCAATGCAACTGGTATGTTTTATGGAAGTTTTCACTTCAGTTACTCGACTTGGCATTTTTATATATGCATAGGTGTCAGTAAGTCTTACGAATGAGGCCAGAGGGTTCCAGTAAACTTAATCTAGAATTCTGCAACCATAAACACTAATAGGAGTTGACTGACAAATCTGTCCTGCCCGGTAAGTCTTGCAATTAGGTCATAGGGTTCCAGTAAACATAACTCAGAACTCTGGAAACCATAAACACAAATAGGAGTTGATCGACAAATCTGTCCTACCCCAGTGTTTAGGGATGTTCCAAGTGAAATTGGTTTTCTGGATTTCCTTTCTTGCACCCAATCAAGCTGTGAAGATCTTCCGATGTCAATGTTACTCTCTGTGCTAAATTGATTAGGATGTAGACCTTCAAAAGTAGACACTACATGATCTGAATTTTACATATAAACCAATTTGCAATGTTGTGTCTAATCCAGACCAAACAAAGGGAAGATGAGATACAAGGTTTAAAGATGAGATTAAGGTTTCGAGAAGCTGCTATAAAAAGGCTCGAATCAGTTGCTTCAGGAAAGATATCTGCTGAGATTCATTTGCTAAAGGAGAAAGAGGAGCAGTTGAAGGAGATAGAGGTCCTACGGAATCAGGTTGATCGTAACCAAGAAGTTACAAGATTTGCTATGGAGAATCTACGGCTAAAAGAAGAGATCAGAAGGCATGTTATTTGAGTTATCTTTTAGTTATCGTAGAATGCACATTTTCCTTTCTTTGTCTGAATCTTGGAGATAAATCTAGTCACTGAGAAGCAAAATGTTTCTAGTTATATTAGGCAGGTCCATGTCTTGCTACTTCACTAGTTTGATAATTCTTATTTGTTGGTAATGTAGATTGAAGTCATTTTATGAGGAAGGTGAGCGAGAAAGAATGAATGAACAGATCATGATGCTACAAAATAAGGTTAGAGTTGACTTCTTCCTCTTCCTTGCTGTCTTGATTTTTCTTTCTACTCTCTAGAGATTTCAATCAAGCAATCTGCGTTTGCAAATCTGAGAATAGGCATGATTTCCTGAGTCTTTTTATTCTCTTTTTGTGTTATTCATAACTGATCCCTTAGTCATACATGATACAATTATTTCCGAAAAAAGCGCACTGCAGAGTGTTGTTTAATCAATAACTCTGGTCAGTAAAGTAAAATTTCTATCTTTTACTTCTTGATTCTGCTTCAGAGAATGCATTTCAAAGTCCTTAGCAATTTCTTTTCTTCTTGATCAGCATGTCTGGGATCTCTGTCAAATACGAAAGTTGTTAGCAATGTTTTGCCTAATGGTTCTCTTTGATATGCAGCTTCTAGAAGCACTTGATTGGAAACTTATGCATGAATCAGATCCTGCACCGGTTCAGGTTGTCCTAAAAACTCCATTAGGATTTTAATGCAGGAACTCATTTTTATTGTTCCAGAAGGAGCTTGTCATTTGTTGAACTGTAGTTTATTGTCTATTTGTGTTGTAGAAGGGAATTTCAGAGCTTGGTATGCATATTGAGAATGACCTGAATCTACTAACGTCATCTCAGGTTTGACAATCTTAGAGTAGTTATTGTAACATTTACATCTGCTCAATTACACTCGTCTATCTAATTGAAACTGTGATTTGTATTTTTTTTTTGTTCGAAAATGCATCAAATTTGAGAAAAGTGGGGTATCTTTTTAATCTTATTTTTGAATTTATTTCTTCATGTTTCTACTTGCAACTGAATCAAAGTTTTGGATCTGATGTTGGAGATCCTTCTGCTTTTTTTCAACCATACTGAAATATTTGCTTTTCTTTATAATTTCTGCCACACCTAGGCTTCACCTTGGCGTACATCAATAAATGAGGAAAATGAGTTCCTCCGAGTTCAGGTAATATATCTTTTCACCTGACAACGAGCTTAAAATAGTACAAACGAGTTTAGTGGTTATTTCATAGGTTATTCACTATATAACTGCTAACAAGACATTTTTTATCTTTCAGGCAATTCAAAACCAATCAGAGCTGGATGCACTCCATAGACAACTTGGTTTTTGTGTTGATGAGAAAGACAAATTGGAAAGGTTAGTGTTTCTTATCTTCCTCTGTCATCTCTTTGTTCTACCTGCTTTAGTATCTCACGGTCGTTGTTGGTGGACCCCCTTCAAAATACATAAGCTGCCTTCATAAACCTATTGATATTGAGAATTCAAATCTCCTATCTGCTCGACATCCAAGCTAAGGATTAAACCTGTTACACTTAATCTGGTTTCTTCTGGGTCCAACAATATTGTTCAAGTATTTAGGAATTAATTTGGATCTTGAATCTCTTTGCACTGTCCATACAGGCAATTAAATGACTTGGAAAAAGAGCTAGAATTTGAGAGATCATCTAAAGCAGTTCTGATGGAAGAATCGAAGAAGGGTCAAATTGAGCCGTCTTTGGTTGCAAATGATCAGGCGCCTACTATTGCTGTCAGTGATCAGACGGAGCTAACAACTATTGTTGATGCTATAGCAGCAGCCAGCCAAAGAGAAGCAGAAGCTCATGAAACTGCAATTTCCTTGTCTAAGGAAAATGATGAATTGAGGATGAAGCTCAAAGTCCTAATTGAGGACAATAACAAACTGATAGAACTGTACGAGCAAGCAGTAGCAGAAAAGAACAATGGGACTGATAGAGGTCAGAACCCCCAACAAGAAAATATTGAAGATGACAGCCAACAGTTTTTTGAACATGCTTTACAGAATCATGATTTAGATGACATTGTTTTGTCAGGGGAGACAGTAACTTTACAGAGAAGCAATATTGCTGCTGACTCAGATGAACTACCTAGCTACAATACTACAGAAATGACAGAGAATAAACCATCAGAACGAGGTGAAGAACATACTTCTGAAATATTGGGCAAAAGTGATTACATGATGGTGGAAACCATTTATCCTGAATCAACTGCAGAAGCTGTACTTCATGAACTTCCTGAGGATCTGAAGCAGGATGTTGAAATGGAAGATAAGTCATCAGATGTCATGCATAATCCTGTATCAGAGGACCTAAGTTTGTTGAGAGTGAAGCTTGAAGGAGCGCAGGAAAAGCTTCTAAAATCTGCCAACACCATAAGTATGTTTGGTTCATTAGAGAGGGCAATTGTCGAGGTTGATGAGCTTGCAGAAGAAATTGAAGGACTCGAAAAGAGCATTGAAGTGAAAAAACAGGGATACACATCCTTCAAGCTTCAGTCTTCACAAATGCTTGGAAAGAAAATTTTGCTTGATAATAAGCTATCAGCACTAAGATACTCACTTTCAAGCTTTTCTTCATCAGTTGGTTACTTCGAACAACGGGAAGCTCAAACAAGAGCAAGATTGAATGCTTCATCTACTTGTCTCAACCAAAAGAAAGCAAAATTGGCTCATCTTCAAGCATCTAAGGTTGAACTCCTGGAAGCACAGATGCAGGCTAAACAGTCAGAGTCAGAATTAAGAAACATCCTAGCAGAATCAAAATCAAAATTGGAAGACGAGAATCAAAGGCTGGAAAGTGACAGAGTTCTCTTTGCCATAGATAACATTGAGAAACCCGATATCCAATTGCCAGAAAGGAGTTGGCAGTTGAGTGGCAAAGCTACTGAATTACTCAAGTCTGAGGAAGAAAAAACAAAGATACAGAATCAAATGAAGCAGATTAGGGAAAATTTGGGGATAAAGAAGAAGGAAATCGAAGACTTGAACGAAAAAAGGCTGAATTCAGAGAAAGATATTGAGGCCACTGAAAAGGAGATAGAGAATATTTCGCAGTCTGTAAAGGAAATGGGCAACAAGCTTCAAAGGGTCATTGGGGAGAAGGAGATGATCTTTGAAATGAAAGAGAACGGGAAGCAAGAGTTTGAGAACATGATTCTTGAGTACCACGAGAGTATGTTTGCAGCATCGTTGAAGGAGGAAGAGTTAAAGATTTTGGACGAAGAACTGCAGTTGGAGATGAGTAAAATAGAAGATTTGCAAAGAGAAAAGGCTCTTGCTTCAAGTAGAAAAACTCAGTTGCTGAATGCATTATCGTGCCAATCGTGCTCTCTCTCTGACAAGGTAGAGGAGGATCTACATGACATACGAAGGTCAGTACTAGAGCTGAACTCGTTGCTTGGAAATTGATAGTTTGACTGACAGTTAATTGCCTGTTTAACTGTCAACTATAAAACATCTCTAAAAAAATCAAACTTCTCTCAGTTGCATTGTTGCTGCCTAAATGTATTGTCAATATAAAATTCTCCTTGCGCAAATGGTGCGATGTATTACAAACCATATTATGATTGTGAATAAGTTGTGAAAAAATGCAATCAAATTTTTGAAGGGGATTATGAAAAGACGTATATCTCTTTACTTTTTTGTTGCAGTCAGTTTATGAAAAAGCGGCACAAAGGTAGGGGTAAGGTCTAAGTACACACTACCCTCCCTAGATGCTACTTGTAGGATTACACTAGATTTGTTGTTGTCGTTGCAGTTTATAAAATGGTGGAAGTCCTAACAGAACTTATCTAGCACAGTTGAGTAGCTGAGATTGAATTACCTAAACCACAAAGTGAAATCAAATACTTTGGCTTTACAATTATGAATCTATAGAATGGAAAAAAAAATCTCAATAGGGAAACAATCAGAATCATATTATACTATGTACACACCTATCTCTTCTAAGTTGTCATCATAACTTTGAACTCATCAAAGCTGAGGACTCCATCTCCATTGAGATCAAACCTTCGAATCATAGCTTTGCAGTTATCAATGGATGTTGACTCACCTAGTCGACTCAACATGTTCTTCAAGCTCTTAGGAGTAATGTATCCTTCCATTTCATACATTCCAAATGCTCCAATCAACTCACTCTCTTTATTCCTCTCTTCCTCCATTCCTTCCATCAGCTTCGTAAAATCCTCAATGCCCAATAACCCGTCCCCATCAGAATCCGATAGCCTCACTGCCATTTCCGCCTCCTCTACCGTCAGTTCACCTCCTACCGCCTTCACACACCTCCTTAACTCTGCAGGTGACACCTTTCCATCTCCATTCTCATCAAAGTATGTAAATACCCTCTCTAACTCTCCCTTGTTACTACTACCACTATTGTCACTCACAGGAACACAGTTAGTAGTAGCAGCAGCAGCAGCTGCTGCTGCTCTCGTTATTGTTGTTGTCTTCTTTTTATTTTCATTCCTTCTGAAATGAAACATATTCCGTAATCTCGAGAAAAAAGACTCTTTTTCAGCTGTGGAAACAGAAACTGTTGATACCATACACATAAGTTTGAGATATAATATAAGTGAGAAAAGGGTTGAACTTGAAATCAACAAAGAAAACTTTGGGAAATTATAAGTTTTTGGATGTATAATACTCTTTAATACTCAACAAATTAAGGATATGGGAAATGAAGGAAAAAGAATGGGATATTTATAGTTTGGGAAATCAATAATGAGTGGGGAAATAGTATTAATTCCGTGGGCTTACCAAGTATTGAAACAACTTGTACGACCATTTGTTTCTAGTAGAAAAAAATATTAGTAAAACACAAAAACAGGTATTTAGAAGTTTGAAAAGTAAACAGTCAAATGAACTATGGTTTGGTTTATAGGATAAAGTCTTATCTTGAAGACTACGTGTTTTGGGGGCAGACTAGTGGCATCTTATATTATATTGTCATCACAGATGTCATGCCAAATTGACGCAGTGTTAAAATCAGTCCATAAAATTATAATCCATCTAATCAGTTTATGTTTGAATTAGTTAATAACCTGCTTATTTTATTGAATGGGTTTATTTTGCCCCGTTTAGTTCACCCCATTTTAAATCTGGGTTGATATGCAACCTAGATTGACTCATGAGAAATTTTATCTAAATATTTTTTACAAAAATAAATTATAAGAAAACAAACTTTGAATTTAAAACTTTGTAGGAACTATGCAGGTTGGGTGATGATCCGATTTTTAACTCATTTTAGTTCAACCCACTTTAGCCCAGATAGTATTTAGGTGGGTTAATGACCTGTTCATTTATTAGCTCAATTCATTTTGACATTATTAAATTCAGGTTAACCCGTTCATTTGACGACCCTAATATATACACTACTTACCTTTTATGGCATATATGTCCAAAAAATAGTGTCCTTTCTTTCATCTATATATAATAACTAGATGGGGATGCCGGTGCGTTGCAGGGGCCCATTATGACTATAATAAAAAATTTATTGTACAACACTATATATAATATAGTAATTATTTGTTTATATTATGTGCAAAGTGTTCACCTCCAACGATCAATCCAGAGCTTCAGCTTGCTTCTTGTTATATATATGTCCCAACTATGTGGGAAATCAAGAGTTCAAGCAAGAAATTGCATTGTGGTGCTTAGAGAAAAAAATAAATTAAGTTCTCTGCTTATTGCTTCTTGTATATATCAAAATATTGATATCCACTCATTTACCACCAATTCAAAACTCACAGATAAAAACATATGCAAATGGGTCCATTTTTATGTTAACATTGTCTATATACTTGCAAAATTAAAGATAACCAAACTATGATACTAATCTGTGGACTATTGTGAATACATATTCTAAAGAATCGTACATTCTAATGCCATTTTTCGTCCATATCCAAGACAGTGGACTATTGTGAATACATATTCTAAAGAAGCAACACTCTTTCTCCCTCTTTCAGTGATGCAAATCACAAAGTTTGAAGTGAGAATAGTAGAGATGCAACATGTTCTTGACGCGTAATACAGTGTTTAATGGCCAATAAGATAGTCAATATGAATTGGGATATTTCCTTTTTTTTTTTTTTGACATAAAATACGTGCTACACGTGTACAGAAGCAGTACACATTACACACTTTAGAAAAAGTAGAAGTAGATGAAGTTACTATTTTAACCCTACTATTTGTAGTACAAATTATCTTGCCTTTTGTACCACAATTTGATGCTATGTTCGTCCTCCCAACTCCCACTTATTAATAAGGGTAATAATAATAATAATAATAATAATAATTTATGTTTTCTCTTTAAGATTCTACTTCTAATTTTAGTAAGACTACACTTAGAGTTTGTTTGTCTTTTTTGTTGGGCAAGGATATAGGACTCTGGAAGAATGTAAAACTATTCCAAATTTAATAGTAAAGTGGTAAATTTGATTCAAATAAGGGGAAATTAAGGATATTTGAGTAAGATTGGTTAACTTGATATCAAGAATGAATACCTCGTTAGATGAATAATTTAACAAACAAAGAAGTAATACATGCTCCACTTCATAAAATATGGAGGGAGTAACTTTACAATTATGAAATGAAAAAATCTCAATGAATTATTTGATCTCAAGAATCATAATTACACAAATATTTCTCTCTAAACTCTTCTAACTAGTCATCATAATTTTAAACTCATCAAAGCTAAGAACTCCATCTCCATTGAGATCAAATCTCCTTATCATAACCTTGCATTTATCAATGGAGGTTGACTCGCCGAGTCGACTCAACATCATCTTCAAGCTCTTAGGAGTAATGTATCCTTCCATTTCATACATTCCAAATGCTCCCATCAACTCACTCTCTTTATTCCTCTCTTCCTCCATTCCTTCCATTAACTTCGTAAAATCCTCCAACCCTAACAACCCGTCCCCATCAGAATCCGATAGTCTCACTGCCATCTCCGCCTCCTCCATCGTCAGTTCACCTCCTACCGCCTTCATGCATCTCCTTAGCTCCGTTGGTGACACCTTTCCATCTCCGTTCTCATCAAAGTACGTAAATACCCTCTCTAACTCTCCCTTGTTACTACTACTAACACATGAGTTAGTAGTAGTAGCAGTTGTTATTGTTGTTGTTGTCATTGTCTTCTTCTCCTCTTCCTTCTTTTTGAGATGAAATATATTCCGTAATCTTGAGAAAAAAGATTCCTTTTCAGCTGTGGAAACAGTTACTGACGCTATACACATGCTAACAAACAAATATACGTTTGAACTACTTTTTCTTTTATTCAAGAAAGTTTGAATATGAGTAAGTGAGAAAAGGGCTGAACTTGAAATTAACAAAGAAAACTATGTAAAGACAAGAAATCAAGGATATAGGAATGAAGGGAGAAGAATGGTCTATTTATAGTTTGTGGGGTTGAAGAAAAAGGGATAGTTAATTCAGTGGGCTTACCATTTGTTTTGTAAGTAGAAAACAGGAAGTTTGAAAAGTACAGGCAACACGCTATAAAATATAATATAAAGTTTTTATAACATTTAAAAATAATTAAAGACTACGTGTTTGGTGTGTGTGTCTCTTTGGGGATTGAAATCTTATATTATATTCAAATATTGTCATGCCAAATTGACGTATATCCTTACCTCTTATGACATATCCAAAATAGTGTCTTTTCTTTCTTCTTTCTCTTTTTTTGAGTTTAATTTCTAATATCCCCTTAGGTGGGTTTGTCGATTATTTTTTTTGAAAAATAAGTGATTTTTATCTATTTTATGATGTTTGACGAGTAAGGAGAAAATATTATTTTAAGAGCATTTAAGTATAATATAAGCAAATAATATGGCCAAGACCTAGACTTGAACCCAACGTGGAACTTGACCCTGACCTGGAATCGAGACCTCACATCCGGCCCAACCCCAACCTCAACTTGAAAACCATATCCCTAGCCCTGATCTCGACTCTGGACTCAATCCCCAACATGGATACCAAACCCGATCTTTGATCCACGACTCAAAATTTGGACATGATCCTCGACACAATCAGAAATCGAGCCTTGGTTTGACCCTAACTCGAACCCTGATTTGAGACTAACCCTGGACCATGAATCAATCCTTGGTCCGATATCCAACAAAACCTGACCTTGACTCGAGCCTCGACTCTTCGGTTGTGGCTTGTGAATCAGTACCTAATATCGACCACGACTCTAAACTCAAACCTTGTCCCGACCTCATGAACTCGGGACTAAAACACCCCGACCCCTACCCTTCACTTTGAATCAATATACTTGATCCTCGACTTTGACGTTGACCCAAGACTCAGCCATAGCCTGTGACTCGATTCTTGAATCGAGACATGGATCCTGACCCCAGCCCAGCCCCGACCAGGTTTCTAACCCACATTCCGATCTGCGATCTAATCTCGACACGAGACCCTATAAACTATACTCCCTTTAGTCCATATTAAGTGAATTGTTGGATCATCACACACCTCTTAAGAAAATACATCCAAGGACAAAAATTAAAGGCTACTTTCCACTATTACCCTTTTGATTATTTCAAACTATTCTCCTAGAAAATGTAAATTAGTTAAGAACCTCATTAGAAGGAAGGGTAAATATGAAAAAAAAATTCCAACAATTCTCTTGAACTTTGAAAATTCACTTATTTTGAATTATATAAAAAAAAAAGTATCAACAATTCACTTAATTAATATGGACCAGACTAGGGGAGTCCTTTTCAATCATACACTACGAAAGAACAATAGAAACAAACTCAATTTCCACAGTTGAAGTAACACTTCTCCAAGTTCGTAAACCAAGGTATTATTTACAAATTTGAATCTATGAATGTATAAATCTCAACCAAAAACCATTTATATAATTACCAGAAACATTTGAGCTCAAGAATCAAGAAGAAATAAAATAACAATAACAAGCCCAAGGCCAAAGAATTATGTACACAAATATCTCTTCTAAGTTGTCATCATAACTTTGAACTCATCAAAGCTAAGAACTCCATCTCCATTGATATCAAATCTCCTTATCATAACCTTGCATTTATCAATGGAGGTTGACTCGCCGAGTCGACTCAACATCATCTTCAAGCTCTTAGGAGTAATGTATCCTTCCATTTCATACATTCCAAATGCTCCCATCAACTCACTCTCTTTATTCCTCTCTTCCTCCATTCCTTCCATTAATTTCGTAAAATCCTCCAACCCTAACAACCCGTCCCCATCAGAATCCGATAGCCTCACCGCCATCTCAGCCTCCTCCACCGTCATCTCACCTCCTACCGCCTTCATGCACCTCCTTAGCTCCGTTGGTGACACCTTTCCATCTCCATTCTCATCAAAGTATGTAAATACCCTCTCTAACTCGCCACTATTACTATCACTCACCGATAAACGATCAATAGTCGTAGTAGTAGTAATAGTTGTTGTTGTTACACTCTCATGTTCCTTCTTAGGAGTGTTAGTCTTTTTTAGGAAAAACCTATTACGTAATCTTGAGAAGAAAGATTCTTTTTCAGCCGTGGAAACAGAAACTAACACCATATTACACATGCTAGATGTAAGTAGAAAATGAGTAAGTGATAAAAGGGTTGAACTTTGAAACAAAGAAATCTTAGGAAAGTTATATAATTTTTTGTGGTTGAAAGACAAAGAAATAAAGGATTTATATGATGAAGAAGGAAGAAGAATGGGGTATTTATAGTTAATGGGGTATACAAACTTTTTTCTTATAAGTTTGAAAAGTAAAAGACCAACACGCTTTAGAAAATAATAGAATAAAGATGACAATGAAATGAGCTAAAAGAGCTATACTGTTTTGTTTTGTAGGATAAAGTTTTATTATTAAAGACTACGTGTATGGTGTGTGTGCTTTGGGAGGTAGAGATTGGCATCTTATATTATAATATTGTCATGCCAAATTGACACATATATATCCCTCACACTTTAGCTAGGTCAAATCTTTGACCATCACTTGTAAATATATACCAATATCTCTCCCACCTTTTCATAAATTAGTTTTTGGACACGTGTACTATCTATCTCATTTAAATTGTCATAAATTATCAATGTATTGAAAATTATTTATAATCAGATTATAAGAATATCGTTTTTTTTTTCTAAAAAGAAAAATTCAAATATTTGAAATTTACTCTTTAATATCAACATATCAAGAATTGAAATATAATAGTAGAGTATTTCTTCCTCAAATGAAAAGAAAGATGAAAATATTTATTAGTTTAAAATGCTATAATTATAAAGGCAAACTAATATATATATATATATTCTCCACTTAGACTAGCTTCTTTTTGTTGGGGTCAAAAAGAAAGATTTATATCAATTGATATTTGATGTGTACCATTAATAAATGTATATAAGACAATTTTGTCCATGTATACCACATGTTTATAATTGACTTGGAATCATATGATTAATTAGAGGTCTAACATTAGTACGTTGACATCTTCCAATTTCTAAGGCTCGCATTGCGCGCACTATTGGTGCCTCAATTTCTGGTAGTGGGTGGTGCCACAATTCGTTCGATGTACAATGTGTTGAACTACTTCAATAAGTTTACGAGTGAGATATATATATTCAGAATTTAATATTCGTACAATAATATCGACAACTCTTTTATCCGTAGTAAGAAATGATTAAAAGGTAGCCTTTCACGTAAATTGATTTGAATAAGAAAATCAATTATTTGTCTTTGAGGATCAGGCATCAATCATAAAGTATTTTTACGTTTTTATATTAGTCTAACCATATTTTCAATATTCGTTAAAAGCACTATAAAGAAACATAGCTTAAATTTTCAAGAATGCTATATCTTACATAATCAATAATCAAATCAAAGCAAATAATGTAGTAATAATTACATCTCAATTTGTAATAAATTGAAATTAAATATATAAGTGGAGTGTAAAAACGTTTGAACTCGAAGCAAAACAAAAGTTTGAAAATTATCTTTTTGTGTGAGTGCTCTTTAAAAACAAGAATAGATATATATATATGGTGATCGGTGAAATGAATTAGCTATATAAGAAGAAGAATGTGATATTTATATGAAATATATATATATAGGGAGTATTATATAGTTACATTAATGATTGTTAATATCGTGGGAATATCATGTATCGAAAACTTTGTGCTAATAAGAGATTAATTTCTATACACTGACTGACTATGTGTGGATAGAAATAGAAGTTAATCTCAAATTTAAAAAAATAGGCATATTTTGTTGTACGGCATTTTGTTTCTAGAACCAAAAAACAAAGAAGTTTTTAAAAGTTTGAAAGGTAAACGGCCAACACATTAATTATTATTACTAAATAATAAATATGATGTGTTTGGGTGTGTGTGGCAATCGTAGAAATATATTATCTTAATCATGTACTTGTAGGGAGGAAATTTTTTTCTTGCTATTTAAAAATTTCAAGAAAAATATTTTTTACAAATTTTTTACATATATTATATATATAAGTTACGTATTAACTAGTTATAAATCTTTAATTGTATGCTTAGTTTTTGTTGTATTCATAAACTTTAAGTTTGAATATGTTTCTAAGCGAAGGTAAAAGTATTGGAGGGTGGGAAGAAGACAATTAACGTGAAATGACATTTATGAATCTATTTATGGTATTTCTCGTTACTTTTTAAATAATAAGAAAATTGAAATAGGCATGATTTGAACATAGGTGTTTTTTTTTTCTTCTTCTTCTAAGAAACTTAAAATGTTCCATTGCATATTTTATTTTTTGGTTTAATTTAGGGGTTAAGTGAGATGGGAGAATTTTGACCTATAACATATTTTCTATGTAACAAACGTGTGAATAACCCAAATATGATAATATTTTACTCCATATTTTAAGCTCCAATGTTATTGTAAATATTAAAATAATGACAACAAAATCACTCAACAATTAAGTATTTGGTCAAAGAATTAATATGCACCTATTATACATAATTTCAATATATTAATCAAGCGGCACTTAATTAATTATCTCATAAATATATCTCCAACTTGGATAAAACGAGTTTAATTAATATTTTGCATTCTAGAAATTGTCTTTTCTAAGTAATTACCTAACTTATTATAGTCTAATTTAAATAATTAATCATAGATGATATATTTTTTAATAGGTAATTAATATATACATGATGGGGTAGCTTCATGTAAGGTTCATGGACAGTTTGACGTTTAATTAAATTAAATTAATTTGTTGTTTACCATTAGGGCATAACGTGTATATCATGCTAATCATT